TTAGTTGATGAAAACATCTTTAAGGCTGTACACATAGTGGATTATCAGGCAGTCTGCTTCAAGGAAAAGAAGACGACAAATCCCGCAACGATGATTATGACCGTAAAACATTTTATAAGCTTTTACATACTATTATAAAACTTAATCACTCATTTTCAGAAGACTAAGTTTTCAAAAGTATTACACTCACACATAAACAATATTGTCTAGAAATTTCTTTGACACGATAATGATTTTTGCGTTTCTTAACTTTTCACTTTGGGTTGAATTTATCTAATTTATAACAGCCTAAAGTCAACTGCATATCACTCTTTCCACAATATTACCTACCCCGATGTACGGACGTTGATTTTTGAGAAGTTCTCCTGGTCTTTTGCACATGCATTGTGACAAGTATTCACTGCTTAGCAATCATATTAAAGTTCAATAACTTTAATATGATATTAATCGCAATGCGTGATAGTTCTGATTGCAGTTTGTAGTCTTCATTATCAGTTCTATTTCACAAAAAATTGATTTTCGAGATAACTCTAGTTTTTCTAAAAAAATACCAAAATAAATACAGGTGTGCCTATAATATTTAAAATGTTTCGTCAATTTCTCCTAGATCTCATCATCACATCCTGATCTGATCACAATGAGACTAACTAGAAAGTATACTGTTTTTAAACAAAGAAAAAAAAAAATTCAAAGTAAATACATAAAAAGACAAAAGATCGCAACGAATTACGAAAATCCGGTTTCGAAGTCGGTTAAGGCACCTTAGTACAAAGTTTTTATTCGATTACAAAGGACTGGACCATACATAATTAAGATCAACATTTAACTATTCGAACACCAAATAAATACACTTTTCAACTTCACAATTTACAGCCAATTGAAAACTTGCGGTTGATTTTGGCGTGGTTTTTAACGACCTCAATCTGGCTCTATAACTCGATAGCAACATGTTTAGCCCAGGCGTCTAGCTACTCTGACGACGACGGTAAGTGCTTCATGACAATCCGTTCAATACCTACATGTATAACGTAACCTCGAAATGTAACATCTACGATGATTGAATTAAAAAAAATAAATGTTAACAGAATAGATGTTGTGATCTAATATTATGCGTATTCAGTGTTGCTCTTGCGTTGTCGCCTTGTCGGGCATGTTCTGTCGACTCTGCATGACAACGTGCACTTCTAAATAAAAACAACGTAATCCTCTGTCTACGTAGAACTGATATTGTCGGAACATTTATTTTTGCCAGAGACAGTATGTGCTTATAAATGTTTCTGTGCATGAAATAATCTGACTGTGAAATGTAAACGCTACAATCACTGTCTATAGTCAAATCTAGTGTTACTGTCGTAGTCAACAAATAATACAAAAGTATAAAAACACATCATTTGGAGTTATTTTGGGTGCATGCGAGAGCTCACTTAATCAACTTGCACCCAATACCTAGCTGGTTTTCACAACATAGCAAAATTCATTCATGGAGTCAAAGATTGGACTTAGATGTTTTACGAAAGTAGTAATGACTCCATCTTTTTTCAGAGTATGTTACACCCACCGGTGAGTTGAAATGTAGACCGAGCACAGTAGTGTGTCGACGGGTTGACACTGAACACTTTAGACTTACTACCTTTATATTCTTACCTACTAGTTACATGAACTTGTAGACTTAAGTCCGAGAATGTGCATGACTTGTCAAACAAAGATAGGTTCTTCTAAATCTATATAACAAACTTTTGCATGTTTATCTAGCATTAGGGTAAAATTTAAGTACGTAATACCTACATACTTATTATTACCATATACCCAACCTACAAATTGCTTTTTAAAACAATTGAAGTTGCCATTTTACAACATTTGCAACCATTTCTCACAATATATCTTTTTATGTACCTATATTATAATTATATACCTACTTACAATGTTGTAATTAAAATGCTTTGACTATTATTCCCATCCCATCTACAGTTCAGCAGGTATTCGTCTTTAATATGCAATAGGTACAAGTATTTAAGCATGTTTATGAGTTTCCTAATTTATGGTTTAATTATTTTTTACATTTTTATAATATTCTGCCTTCGTTTTTGCATGGAGACAATTACCAATTAAAGTTTTCGCTAACATAATTTTCCTTAACACAGTGTCATATCAAAACTACGAAAATGACGAAGAAACAGACGATCCTTACAGCATGTCGCGACCTACGAACATGCGCTCTTTGGAGAGAGACTTAGAGAAAATAGTGCTAATAAATCGGACGAGGCCAACTCCTTGCGACAGGGAAATGTCTTTATACCTATTGGATTATAATAACTTAGACGAGAAATTAAACAAACCAGTGAGTGAATGTGGACGGCCATTCTACGCTCAGCACGTGAACTACACGAATATGTTAATGATAGTTATAGACGGAACATGTCCAAGGGATGAGGTTGCAACCATTTCAATAGATGCCACAGACGTGCAGTACAATGAGTCGTTGCCTTGCTTGAAACACATGCATCCACTGTATAGGAAACAGCCGACATCGTGTATTAGGAATCACACAGAGGTGAGAATGATTGACGCGATATCTAACTTTAAATTAAATTAAATAATTTCCTGATTTCAATGGTTCTGCAAGTAGAACAGTACACGATTTTTTTTACCGTAAGCTCGTTTGGAAATGGGACGTTTAAGGCTCAAGCCCATGGAGCAGATACTTGGAGGGTATGTTTTTCTTCAGTCTCGCGAAGTCTAGACTTTGGTTGCTAGTTGCTTCATTCTGAGAAACTGACAAATCTTGAAACTTAAATCTTTTCTTTTGTACTTTAAATTAACAAGAAAGAAAGTTTTACTACAATCTGATATTATTCTATCCACTGCTTGTCAACTTTAGTTGGTCTTATTAGTCATGTCATGTGTTATGAATTCGTTATTTTTCTATTTTCAGGAGAGCAACATTGACATGTGCGGTCGCGGTAGTTTACTTAGTAACAAAGCGTGGGTTCCGTTGAGTATCCTGTTGATACTTCGATATGTACAGGCGTAAATTTAAAACAGAGTACAATACAACTCTTTCACTGTCACGATTGATTAAATTAGTTGAAATTAACGTAATCGGCAGGTAACGACGTGGGTTCTAATGACGTGGGACGATGAAGCAAATAATACCTAGTCATCTTATATGTATATACCTACCTACATCTACTAACTTTAAATTAATACACCGGAATTACGGATTAAGCACACAAAAAGGGGCGATGCTAAATGTGAAGCATGCGTAAACGCTTCTGAAGTTCTGCCGAACTCTTCTATTTTTCTAAAAAATATATTCCACTAGTTATCTGGCAAAACATTTATTGAATCAAAATGGCCAGGCTACATTACTATGAAAAAAAAACAGCATCTTACACATCTTACCCCAAACCTAGACATAGCTTACAATTATGCTTTGGTAAGTAATCGAGTCAGTAAAAGAGTTCGTGTTTATAAAGATATATGTATTTCTGACAAAATTCTCATAAACAATAATTAACTATTAAGTTTTGTTATTAATGTTATAGTTTATTTACACTAGCTTGGTTCAAAACATTTCAAGTGTAGTTGTTATTTTTCAATTTATAAATTTTACCATAAGATTATACCTGCTTTTAGAGTTAGTAGGTAATTAATAAAAAATACATTTCATTCTTACATATCAAGTTTTAAATTATATAGTTTGCTCCAATTGTGCCACAATAGGAAGCAATAAAAGGTCATATCAGCTCTAGAAACTGTCTTCAAGTTTCTAAAATTTGTGTAAAGTTAGGAAGGAACTATAAATAATTTAGAATGATAACTTCCACAAGTGGTATTCATAATTACTAAAATTATTACGTATTAGCTGGTGCCCGCGACTTCGTTCGCAGGAATTTGAAAAGCGATGCCTTAGTGAGTTCGATTCCCGGACCAGGCAAATTTTTATAGGGTTTTTCTGAGAGAAAAAATAGCCTAAGTTACTCCTTATGTAGACAGCTACTTGGTAGTTAAATATTATCAAAATCGGTCTAGCCGTTTTGAAGATTATCCGGAACGTCTGGCTGTTCCGGATAATCTTCAAGACAAAAAATATTTAAACAGGTTTTTAGGCATAGGCATCGTACAAATAACCGTGTAAGCATGAAAAAAACCTATTATTTTGATATTACAAACAGACATTTCAATTTTATTTATTTGTTATTATGTATAGATTGTGGCAATGACAAGTCAGGTCGCATATCTCCTTGACAAAGGGCACCTCACCACTAAGGCCTCTTACAGCTTCCCCAAAATACACCTATAGTTATAAAAATGTCGTACATAATTATGATTAGGAATTTAGCTTTTGTATTGCATCAGATTTTTGCATTATTTGATTTTCTTCGTTAGTATTGTTTTGTTCCTTCTGTCATATTTTACTTAGATTGATGTCAAACTGGTAAGGTGATAACGATTATACTTACTTTTAGGAATATTTTTTTTAGAATTATTCTCGTTTGTAACAAATAGAAAGGGATTACATTTCTAGCACATTTATAACTGTTCAGGTTGCCACTAAAATCGTCGTCTAATTACCGGTATGACCTGACATTGATTGTTATTACCTTTGTTCCGTCCGCGGGTAATTGTTAATTGGTATGGTAACTATACAACATCTTTTTAAATTTATAATTATAAAAAAATAATAAAAACAAAATCTTTTCAAATTAAATTTTATTACATAATATTTTAATAAGTCAACAGTATTATTGCTGGGGTTATATTTGAAGTAATATCATAAGAGTTTAGTATTTTGAATCTCTGTAATTTATGTAAAACTTCTTAGATGTGAAATATTTACTTATTACTGAAATGTGATTGTTTGTTTGGTACAAAATAAATACTTACTGTAATTATTCAAATTGTGTTTCATTTTACAAGTTTACGAAATCATTACTCGAGACTTCACTAACATAAATAATTTTTTATCCAAACGTTACTAGTATTCTTTTACAAAAAAGTTAGCTTATTGTTTCCACTTTATGTTTTGATACAAATTCTTCAACTCCCTTCATGAACATTTCATGCTTTTGATGGCTAAGAAGATCTTCCTGCATCTTTTCTAATGCTTCACCCCCCTCCATAAATCCCTTCAGGTTATGTATAGTGCTTCCACCATCGCGGTGCTCTGTCACTCGATCCTGTGGGTAGTTGTAAGTACGGATCTTCTCGTTTCTATTGCTGGAGCCAATCTGGAAAGGGCAAGAAAAATCAAATTTGCTAAATAAATTATCATCATCAGTCATTTATACACAGCAAAGTACACAATATCTGGTCAGCAGTACGAAGACCCGTGATTTTACGTAACGCACAAAGTTTAAAAACAATAATTTGAGAATATATGAGTAAAAAAACATATACAATTAACACACATGTAAACATACAGTATAATAATATACTTACCAGAATAATACACAAATTTAAACCTGACCAGGTATTTTGTTTGCCCTGTGTAGGTACATCTACTTCAGAATATAAGCCGCCTAGAGCTAAACCTAAGAATGAACTTTTTTCTTGCAATGTCTAGCTCACATCACATATGCTTTCTTATATTAATGTATGTATGTAATAGCATATGCATTATAAGCATAATGACGGAAATAAATTATAAATTAAATTTAAAAATATTTCTGTTTTTAAGATTGGTTCTATATAAAGTGTTTTATGTATACTTGTAAAACTTTTACAACAGTAAACATTTCATGCATGTAAGAGCATGGTATGGGTACTAGTAAATTTTAAAAGTAAACATTTTGTATGGTATGGAATTTTAATGATAATTCCTTTTTTTTTATTTTGCATCTAGAAATGCAGATGTAAGTTAATTGCCTGATACACAGCAAAAAGCAAATTATAAATAATTGATGTGAATTGTAGACACAAAGACAGTAACATTTAGATGTCAAGGTACTAAGTAACATATTTTATTTATTACTGGTACACGCAACTTTGTTTGCCTTAGTGTGTTCGATTCCCAGACCAGGCAAAACAACTATGACACCAACAGGCCAGCAGGCAACTACCAGATACACTAAGGTGCTCAAAACAGATTCTCCTTTATGTTAGTTTTTATGTACCAAATAAGAACATGACACACTGAGAAATTAAGATATGAGCAGAAACATTATTTTAAACATGACTAACTAACCTGTGACTTTCTTTCATTCTGTATCTTCGAGGATTGCTCTTCCAATTGTTTTTCTAACAGCAGCACTCTTAATTTTTGCAATGCAATTTGTTTATTTTTTATTTGCGACCTTCCTTCTTGGCATTCTACTACTGTTCCCGTAGGTAAGTGAACAATACGTACTGCACTATCTGTTGTGTTTACATGTTGTCCTCCAGCTCCACTGGCTCGCTTTGTTTCTATTACAACATCACGATCAGCAATATTAACTTCTATCTCAGTAGGCTGAGGAAGAACAGCAACGGACACAGTACTTGTATGAATTCGTCCACCTCTCTCAGTGGATGGAATTCTTTGAACACGGTGAACACCTGCCTCAATTTTCATAAGTTCAGGCACACCATAGCCATGGACTAGGAGTGAACCCTTTCTGATACCCCCTAGGTCTGATGCTTCAATGGAAGCAATGTCAATTTGCCAGTTTTTGTAATTAGCATATGATTGGTACATATCGAAAAGCTCTCTTGCAAATAACATGGCTTCCTGACCACCAGCGCCTGCTGTTACCTCTAACAATACACCACCTTCAGTGAATCCTGGTTCTATTAGGACGCTCTGGAGATCAGAATCTACCTCTTTGATGCGTTTTAAGTACACTCCAGCTTCCTCTTTAATCATTTTCGTTATCTCCTGATCATTTTCTTTTTTATTAAGTTCTTTGAGAGACTCAATACTATCAAATAGAGCGATTCTCTGTTCCAGAACACTCACAATAGGTTTTATTTCAAGTAAGCGTTTCGCTTCTTCTGGCGTTCTCTGAGATTTCGAGTACAAGCTGTCATGTTCCAAAATTAAATGTTTTAAGTAACTTTGAACAGCAGGCTCTGACAAATTCACAGTATTCTTTGCATAATATCTACTAAGAAGTTTACGCTTTTCTGTAGAAAATAGTGAACGAAAGACTGTTACTCTTGAGAGCATCATGGCTTCAACTCAGCAAATAAAAAGAAAAAATAAAAGTAAAATTTTTAAACTGAATTTAGATTTATCATCATAAAATACAATAAGTATTGGATTATTTTATACTACAATCCAATGACCTAAAAATCTGACACTGACATTAATTCGACAATGCTAGACAGATATTTTTATGGGGAATAGATATGGAATATATCAGTATAGGTACTTGATACTAGGTATATTTTATTTTAAAGGAAAACACAAAAAGTACGTGACTGCACCATATTATGACTACAATCATTATTATTAGACTTGTTATTAGACCACCTGGCATAGGTGGTATTTAAAATTGTAAAAGCAGTATTTCCCCACCGACACTTGACAAAGCTCTTATACTGTTGTTGGCAGACTTTTACTAGTTTATCAATCAAACTAAACAATAACTCCTATCGAAAATATGAACTCACGTTAGTGATAGAATAGGATAGCATAGTATAGGCCTTCTGATATTTTTTCATTTTACATAAACCTACTTATTCCATTCCGAAGTCGCGTAAAGGACATCATTCAAAATGTACCCAAAAATTAAAGTAGCCAGTAAAAAAAACTGTGTCATCTTACGGCAAATGATCTTTTAAACATTTTTTATTATTATATTTATTATTATATTACAACAAACGTCTACGACCAACTTTTAGACCCAAAATGGATCTCCGAAAATCATAAAATGAGCATTTACATTTATGTATCAATTAACTATTTCCAGGTGTGCAAATTACCCGTAACAAAGGAAATGTTTGGTTTGTTATTAAAATCAATTTATTAAGGTTGTTTATTTAAAAGTAGGTATACTATTTCATATTCTTTTACTAAATTTTCTAAGGAAAATTTAGAAATGATTGGATTCAAATAATTAGAAATTGTAATGGTTAAAATAAAGACAACAAAAATATATTCTCACAAAAAAATTTAGAAAAGTTTGTTGAAAATGAAATCATTTTTTTAAACTTAGAATCTGTACATACTTTCGTCGGAGTAGAACAAAAAATAAGTCTTATTAAACATGCAGAGGAAAAATATTTAGCGATTCAGTTTAACCACATCTCGAAATTAGAGAAAATTTAAAGAACCTATCAAAGTATTTTAAAAAGATTATTATTAAAAAAATGCTCAGCATTTAGGAGAGTAAAATTTCGAACAAATACTTTTATTTACTGACTGTGTTTTTCGGACATAAATTTGGATAACTTGGCAAACCAAAAATTCAGTTACACACACAGAGCTGACGCCATTACGGTGCCTAGCTTTGTGTGAGCGAGAGTTCCGTCCGACTTTTTTTATACGTCCATGGGTATAACATGTGACAGTGAGAGTGTGTAGTAGTAATTTGATACGTATTGATATTTTAAATACTTGGTTTATATTATTAGGTTTTAACTACCACAACACTTTTTGAAATGTCAAATAATAAAATACTATTTTTTCTCACACGTTCTAAATTTGAAATCTTATGAGGCTTAGATTATTATTTATTCTGAATAACAAGGTTTTATTTAGTGTATGACCAATAATTAAAATTGTGAAGACTCAAAGTAATAAACATTTTTTACCGTCATCTGTCGTCAAATAGACAATCACATAGACGATGTTCGTAAGTGTATTTGTTATTCCATGATAGATGGCACTACTAGTACAATTTAGAATATTACAATGATAAGGTCGCCAACACATATTACTATAAATAGCAAACTAGTCTCAAACAAAACAAATTAACGAAAAAGAACTTTGTTATCAACAATATCTGCGGTGCTACAGTTTAGCCATTGATAGTGTTTAAAGAGAGGATAGAAAAATATACAAATGGATTTTTTTATTGTCCACTATTAACCATAGAGTTGAAACAAATTTCATCTTATAATAGTACTTTGAGCGGTCAAATCGTCAAAAGCCATTTTCACCAGACAACCAATTTAATAAAAGGTAATACAGAGTTGAGAATGTAGATAAATTCGCACATTTAGGTAGGTACTATACGTAGAGGTAAATACATTATCTAGGTACCTACTTGCTGTAAATTTAACTCTGACGTAGCAGAGCATCAGGAGAGCATCAGGAAAGCAATAATTAGAAATACATTTACAAATACATTTTTTTATTAATAACCTCATTATGGAAAAAGTTAAAAAAAACCCTTAAGTTCCACATCTTTAAAGAGTTCTCTAGTTTTTAGCATCGCGATTGTAATTATGATTGCATAATTACCCGCTTGCTATCAGACACCGATACGTAATGCGACCCGACCTTTGTATTTTCTTCTTAATGTACCCACATTTTAATTTTGGTTATGTGATTTTGTACAATGCTTGGTGACACCGTCAAATGCGCTCGTAGATTATAAGTTTACTTTTAAGTTCATAATTTGTAAATCTCAATATAAGTGAATTGTATTCTTTTGAGTAGTAAATATCTTAAACCAGAAAAGTAGCCCTCGTTCCGTAATGAGGTTACAAAAAAATTAATAAGCCGTGTTTTGTATTGTTTTCGCGTATTCAGTATTCTATAGATTTGTTTTTATTTCCACTCTTTATTTTATCAAAAATAGTATAGAATGGACGGACTTTTATCTACATACACTCTTTCTTTTTACTGTAGTGTAGCGCAGGCAGAATGTACGTTTAATGGAAACCACGATGGTCATAATATCTATCGGACAAAACTTGCATGTTGCTTGCATATTTGCACAAAAACTCTATAGTAAACTTAATTAGGCATATAACATAACAGTCAAAAGGCGAATTACACATGCCTCGCGAACCGTCGTTGACCACATTGAAACGAAGCGGCCGTAGACACGGGCTTCCTGTGCCAATTGTTGTAGACGAGCATTCCAAACATTTTCTAAAGCCACTATTACCACATTGACCGCAACGATGCACCTATTGATAGAATTATTAGGAGGTTCAGACGCAAAAGGTACTTCCTCGACTAACCGCAAGGACGTCACTTTGCAGTGTATGGAGTTATTAGTGCTAATGACGGCGGGCACACGAACCGACCACATCGCATTGCTTCCTTTGTTTCGCATGTGCGGTGGGCGGCTAACTGTTCTATTGGACTTCAGTTAGACAGTTGGGTAGTAAATAGACTTGTTCGACAAGTAGAGGATTAGATATATATATGTCAAAGGAAATAACAAGAACCGCAAATGTATAAATTTCCTAGGAAATTTATAAACCCTCGTAGGATTCTAAACGAGAGAAACCTAACCTAACCGGGAAAGCACTGGACTAGAGGTCAGTAAGTTTATCAATTTGCGAAAATGTAGGCGTAAAATAATGCAATTTATATCTCGTTTAGAATCCTACGAAGGTTTATAAATTTCCTAGGAAATTTATTCATTTGTGGTTCTTGTTATTTTTCGGTGATATATATCGGTGATATATATCGTGATTTCGGTGACATGCCTGTCGAACAGAAAATGATAAGTAAAACTGGAACTAAATGTTGATATTTTTAGTTGGATTAATAAAATTCCTAGTGTGGTAGATTGGTGAAGTGTTCAGTGCGGGCCAATTGCAATGCCGAATGCGGTCGCCGCGCCGTGGAGAGCGAGTTGATGTGAAATAAACTCGCACTAGGTCCCCAGTAGCTTGTAAACAAATACGGCAATGTATTAAATTGATAGTATGCTGCAAGCGTCAATATAACATAGTAACAGGTGACTTCTACCACCGACAAAAACCATTAATTAATTTCATTACATTAATAAATAAACAAACTCGCATTTCTAATTACAATAGTGGTTCTGGCAACTGTATTCTTCTTATTTTAGCGATATCCTTTTATAAGCGCTGTAGATTACTGACTGTTGCTGTAATTCAATACAGTGTCAGTTTTAAAGTGAAAATGTATAAGGACGAAATAAATATCCTGTGATAATGTCAGCATAGGTATATTAATTGAAGTAATGCATGAGAACAAGAAATGGTTTGCAAAAGGTTATTTTTAATTGTAGTAAATACACATGGACTATGAATACCTTTTAATTTTTTTTGAATGAGTATATTCCTTTTTTAGAAAGAACTATGCAAATCGTTCTATAAATTATCACGATCGGTTTTTATTTTTTCACCGTTTTAATTTGAGTCTAGGTACCTATATTGTTTAATATGAACCAACATTCAGCGGTTTATTATTATACCTATTGGTTTAAAAGTTTTCCAGTTAAGTTGTCACAATTACTAATGATTTTATAATATTCTTAGTCTGGCCATAAATAATGTTAAATAAAAAAATAAATATAAATAGTACATTTGAATTTGGAATCTAAATCATAAATATTCATTGCGTCTTCTCATTTCCGCGCCAATCTGTGTTAAACATATTTGTGATATTAAAATGGAATGGGGTGATAAAGAGAACCGAGTTGCTATGATAGCATTACACAAAGTGAGAACCTATGCAGCCTAATGCAATATTTGAATCTGTCTATCCGGTGGGTATTAGTCGCAGGCTTGTGTACTGGGTTATTTATAGGTAAGTATCTACAATGAAACTTCCACTGTTTATTACAGAAAAGATCTGACCGTCCACGTAGTATCAAAGCAAAGACTGTACGGATGGCGTAGTGGTTCAAGCGGTCACCTCGAGGCTTCCTACTGCATTTAGTGTTGTGGGTTCGATCCCCACATCGTACATCACTTTGTGTGATCCACAAATTGTTGTCCTGAGTCTGGGTGTTCTTTGTGTCCGTTTCGTGTATGTTTGGAAAGCCCCCCGCGACACAGGATCATATTCCTAGTGCGGGAGTTGTCTTTAATACAAAAAATAATAAAAGTAAAAGAAAGAAAATTCTGTTTGAAAGCAGAAGATTTTATCCCGGGCCGCTACCGGGTTTTTTGTATCAATTACTTACTTACTTCAATAAGGAATTTCCTAATTCTAAAATCAAACAAAACTTTGACCGAGCTATTCATCGACCCAGACAGTCGTCATCATAGCCTTGCAAGTAGATTTTATAA